TAAACAAACATAAATTGATATGATATCTTTACTAAAACTTGATAATTACTTTATAAATTGAGACAGCATCGTCCTTTTTTTCATTTTCAACTTAAATATCTAAAAAATTGATCATAATTAAACCCGAAATTTCAACAAAACTTTGCCATAATCATTTCTAATTTTCTCATAAATACAACGAAATTTTTGCATAAAAAAAACATAATAATAAAGTTAATATACTTATAAATTAGAAATATGAAAAAAAAATATAAGTTTCTAAGAAAAAAATAATCAATAATAATAATTTAAAGTTGTATAAATTCCGTTGCGGCAAAAGTAAATTCTCAGTGCTGCGCAGGGTCGGTCCTCTTAATAGACCAACTTTTGACTGTGCACACATGTAAAGATTAGCATGTGTGCGTGTGCTAATGTATACCCTTCTAGAAAATAAAAATAGTCTGTAATTACAACAATACATAATATGGTAACATTGGTACAGTAACAGTTCTTTATGACAAACAAAAATCTGATTTCCGGTCGGCATTTAACCTCCATCCTTTGTTATATTGATTTGTATTTATTTCCTATATTTGTGTACTATCCTTTAGCCAAAAAACTCATTAAATTTCTTTTTTTTAGTATAGTACCACAGATAACCAAATATTACGTAATAACATGCTTGATAGCAACGAGTAATTATAACTAATGTAGAAGATTTCAAATTTAAGGGCAGTTTAGTTGATATTATTAGTATTACTATCAGAAATAAATATTATAAATACCATAGATTTCCGAATCCTACAAAGTGAGTTATAAAATATTTTCTAATACTACTTAGACATTATATTTTTTATTGGCAACCCTTATAAAATTAAAATTTACGATAATATTAATATATATACTTTTAGGAAAAAAAATCGTGTGCAATTTCAATAATACGTAATAATTCTTTATAAGTTTCAGGGCCGTAAAACAACTCAATAAAAAAGAAACTTCTTGATATGATAACAAAAAGTTTTATTTATTTCTGATTTCCGGTTCCGGTCTGCATTTAACCGTCATTACTGCTATTGAGTGGTATTTATTTTCTCCACATTTAATAACTGATATCTCTACCACAATTTCTTAGAATTTGAGTGTTTTAATATAATAGTGAAAGGACGTTTTTAGTTTTAGTGTTCTACGACAAGACGTTTCAACTATTACTATAAAACTTTTTTTAGGATAATTTAGATTATTTGATTTACTTTGATATATACTATGTTTATTTTTAAACAATGAGTAACAGGAATAGTTATAGAAAGTGTGCAAAGTGTCATAGAACACGCGCTGAAGACGTAACTGTGACCTACCATAGGTTTCCAAATCCTGGAGCTGCAAATATTACAAGTGAGTTACAAAATATGTTTGATTACCACTCAGGTCTATGGCAACATGATACATAAAATACCTGTAAATTATTAATTCTCCATAAATAGAACAGAGTGGATAAGTTGATCAGTTGTACAGATTATCTATGATAACATGACTTGCTCCTCCATGACTTAGGTGTATTATTATCAAATTGCATGCCTATTTAACACCATAGTTTGATATGTAATAACTTTAATGCACACAGTACAGAAGATAAAAGTATATTTGGTGAACTTAATACCATGCTGTGTTTTCTACCAGTCAACCACTGATATGGAGAGACAATTGTTGGCAGTGCAAATATAAAAAAAAATTAAATATATGCATAGCAACATTATGTGCCTATATATTTACAATAGGCACATACATACATTAATCTGGTGCACTTACATTATAGTATTGTTATACCTAATACTGCTTGCTTTGTAATAGCGGTATACACATAATTATAATAAATATTTGTTCTATTTGCAGAGCTCGTGCTTGGGCTGAATATTGCTGGCCAAATGAAGACTGGGGCTCTTTGGAGTTCTTAAAGACTCTCTATAATAAAAACAAAGTTTTGTGCGGAAGACACTTTCATTCGTCTCAATTTTATGACAATCAACGGCAAAAACTTAACAAATTTGCTGTTCCTGATATTACTGATATAGAAAATCAGGTACAATAACATTCTTTTCATATTGGAAGTGGTCACTTTCTTGAGGATGCTACTAATGTTAAGTTCATATGAAAGAGTAAACAACACAACAAGCATATACAATACTGTACTTGTTGTTCATTCTATGTAATTTTTTAAGTGTTAATGAAAAAATAAATAGTTTATTATGTTTATCTACTCTGATGAGTCTCTAAAATATAATGTAAATAAATAAATTATCCTGGACAATTAACAAAGCACCATCTAGTCCCACAGTAAGCAGAGCTTGTGTTATGGGTACTAAACAACTGATATAAATACTTATATTTTTTTAAATGTAAATACATACATGGTGTACATAGAAAACACACAGACCGATACAAACAACCATATTCATGAGTACAAATGTTTGGAACATGTGAGTAATCGAACCCGCTTCTAACAATCAATCCACAACCAATTCTGAGTAAAATTTGTTTTTGATGGAAATATTCTATAATTTTCAGAATATGAGTCAACCTGCTGCTACTACAACAGATAATCCAAGGTCTGCCGTCCCTCTGTCAGTAATTGAAAATACTTTACATACACCTTTTATAAATGAATCAACCTCAATGCAGCAAAGTTTTGTGGATGTTCCAAGTACTTCTAAATCTACATACCATAAACAGGTAAATATTAATACAAAATACAATAGTAGTATCACAGATAAGATAACCTTACATACATATACAGCATTCCATACAAGAACTTCGTTCCTTTCTATGTGTAACTATATTATTGTTTGGGCTATTTTATTTAATAGCTATATCTGAATCAGTTTAGATTACTAATGGGTGCTTAGTAATAAAGTATGCTAATTGATATGTATCTGTAATATAAACTTGATTGGGTATTGGGTATTAACAAGGTAGATATAATTATTTTCTATGATTTACCTACATAATCGTTAGCAGGCACTCTACAAATACGGCTCTCAAATCTACAGAATGTATTTTATTATTCAGATAATACATGCCTACTGTTTAACTCTGACGAAAAAAGAGTTATTATAAAGTTTAATATATCTGCTTCATAGCTCCTAAATGGATAGATCCATTTCATTATTTTTTTATATCAAAATCAATCAATTTTTATCAAATCTGATTTGATAAAAATAGATTTTACCTATTATAAATTACTGTACATAGCATGCCTTATGTCATTTGCAATGTATTATCCCAATAAGAATTCTACAATATAAATTTAATAATAGGAAAATAATATCTTTAAAACTGAAATCCACGAAAAACTGGTCTGTGTCCATTTTATTAATAGGTACTTAGTTTTACTTGCAAAACTTTCGATGTCTCCACAGGTGTAGGTACCTGCCAGTAGTAAATCATTAGGATCTGATGTCTTTACCACTAGCAGTATAGAGGGTCTGTCATAAAGTGAAAATAATAACACAATATTGGAATCAAAAATATGTGTATTGATTTATAATTTTTACCATTATTTTTAAGTAATACTTTTTATATGTGGTTTATTATCTATTAATGTAGTGAGTGTAACACCTGACATGGCTACACTGAACTTATTTAGATATTAAATATATACTTGAATGGATGCCTGATCCATTAATTAATTAATTAAATATTTTCAATTGATGGTTATAGGATGCAGGGACAGCACAATATTGGTTGTTGATAATGTCTCTGACTTGGAAATTGTAGTGTTGAGGCTAATTATTTATTTTATTTGTTGATAGTACAGATATTGTTGCATAATAAATTTTGATAGTTGTGTTGAATTTATCTGCCGAAATATAATTTATACTTCCCCTTGTTTTACTTCCAAACTATTATTTAAATTATATATGTATTAAAGACACCAGAGGCAAGTTCAGCAGTTATGTTAAGTATTATAGAAAAAATGTATGGTACCATTTCAGACTACATCTACATCTAAAAGCACTTCAGATAAACCATCAACATCAAATATTCAAAGGAAGCCTGGAATTTTAGGCGAAATTCAAGTCAGAAAAAGTACAGAATTAACATCTAGAGAAAACAAATTATATAAAATATGTAAGAGGAAATTTAAGGAAATTATAAGATTAAGAAAACAGTTGAAAAGCAAGAAAATAAATATAATAAAAAAAATATCAGAAGATGAAAATGTGCAAAAATTTTGTAATTTAAATATATCAAATTCTTTTTTAACTTTATTACAAAGTCAATTAAAAATTGTCCAAAACGACCAAAAGGACGACGTTACACAACAGAACAAAAGATAATGGCGTTAGCTATATACAAAAAATCACCAGCCTGTTACAGGCTTTTGAGACGTATGTTTGCTTTATCCGGCCAAAGTTGTTTGAAAAAATTATTGAATAAAGTGCCATTAAAACCAGGCCTAAACAAACATATATTTGTATCGTTAAAGAATGTTTGTGAACAACAAACAAGTCATGAAAACATCTGTATTCTATCGTTTGATGAGATGAGTATCAGAAAACACTTATTTTATGATAGGAAAAATGATATAATACAAGGCTATCAAGACCATGGCAACCATGGTAGAAACGGTACAGTTGCCAATAAAGCCCTCGTTTTTATGCTTGCGGGAATTCGAAAAAAATGGAAACAGCCCATAGCATTTTACTTTTCGAACATATTAACCGCAGATAGAATGACAGTAATTTTGAAAGAGGTAATAATTTTATTTATTTATGTAGTATAACCGTACATGTATGTATAACCTAACACAACTACTATTATATACTATTGGTTTTATTCTTTCAGATACTTACGGAATGCTTCAATTACAATATTAATATAGTCGCAACTGTGTGCGACTTATCAACCGTTAACTTGAAAGTGTTGAAAACACTTGGTGCTTCACCTGCAGAACCCTACTTCATACATGATCAAAGGGAAATAGTAACAGTGCTAGATCCACCTCATTTATTAAAATACACTCGCAATCTCTTAATGAAGCATAATATTGAATGTATAACAGATTTAGAGTCACAAGATGCAAGTATTAAAGGTAAGTAATATATACGTATCAGTTTTTTTTAATACAGGTGTAACCTGTATAAAATAACAGTGTAGGTATAGAATTTTAAATATGACAAATATTTAGTAAATAATTTTAGGTGTTAGACTTTGATTAATTTTCTTTTTGTTTTTAGGCATAGTCAAATGGAGTCACATTGAACAATTTTATAATCAAGACAAAAATAACGCAAATTTTGTTTATGCTCCTGTATTGACTGACCATCATATACATCCTAATATGAAACAACAGATGAGAGTGAAACTTGCAGCACAAGTTTTTAGTCACTCTGTTGCTGCCGGTATATTAGCAAAAATTGCGTCTAGTAAGTGAATTTGGTTATTTTTAATTATTATCTTTTATAATTTGAGTGACAAATGAACATAAAACGATTGTGCTATAAAATGAATTTTTAAATGTAGTTTAATAGTATCTGAGAGTACATGTATAACGGCCCAGATATGAGGCTGATTGTGGAAAATAAAGTTTAATTTACAATACAATTTAATTTCCGAGAGAGCTTCACGTATGCACTATGTTTTAGCACCCTCATCAATTATATTTAAAGACTGTGGCCATTATAAATTATACTGTAAAATAACACTAATCAATTGTCTGATGAGTAAAAATAATACCTGAAAACTGCAAATTAGTGGTTACAACACAATAAAATAAAAATGTTTGGTTTTTCGAGACAGACGAAGTACATAAGTACCTATTTACATAAAAGTTTTTATACCATTTTAATCACTTTGTACGCCAGTCTGTCTTCAACCTTACTTCAACCTCTGATTTCACAGTAAAACGATAAGTTTTATTGTTATAAAAAAATTACTGTGAAATCAGTATCACTTTTAAAAGCATTTTTTTGCAGATGAACTTCCAAACGAAGCCCATGCGACTGCAACATTTGTTAAAAAAATGGATGATTTATTTGATTCAATTAATGCGGACAGTCCTGACCTGCGTAGAGGAAAAAAATATTCTTGCAACTTAACAATGCGGAGTCCTCACTTAGCCCTTTATAAAGATATGCGAAAATTTATATCATCAATGAAATATCTAAGTAGCAGGACAACTCCTCCTTCTCAAGACGGATGGATACAGACTTTAAATGCCATAGAAAGGTTGTGGAATAATTTGCAGGTCCAAAAAGTCAAGAGCTTGTCCACGCGTCGCCTGAATCAAGACCCTTTAGAAAATTGTTTTGGATGCATCCGATATCATTGTGGGTCAAATACGAATCCGACAATTTCCCAATTTGTGGCAGGTATTAAAACGGCTATAATTACAAATTTACGGCACTCTGGACAAAATACAAATTGCGAAGATGACAGTGCTACTTTAGCAAATAATTTGCTCCCATTTTTAACATCGAACTTGGAACAGGAGCAACAAACATATACTGAACATACTGTATCAGCTGATAATGTAGAAACATTATTAGCTAATACAGTGGAAGCAATGGACCAAGCTACCCCTGAAGGTCAAGCTTGTGCATATATATGCGGCTTTATATTTAAGAAACTGAGGCACAATGAATGTAAAGATTGCCTAAATATTTATGTGACAAAAAATATTGAAGCAATTCACATATTTACCAGCTTTAAGGAATATGAAACTTCAAACACGTCATTAAATTATATAAATAAAAATGTGGTAGTATGTGTAGAAAAGTGTGCCATAGTAATTAATAATTATTTGAAAAACAATGCACACACTCCACAAATACGAACAAATATAATGACATCTTTGGGTTCTGTTGATTTTAGTTTTTTAAATACTTGTGTAAATCATTTTGAAAGTAATAAACGGCACATTCAAAACAGTATATTTTATATATGTGTTAAAAGGTACATTATAATTAAAAATAGAGAAATGGATGAAGATGAGAAAAAGAGAGCGTTAGAAAGAAAGATGAAGATTTTACAAAATAAATGAGAATTGTATTTAATGTTTTAAGTAAGTGAACTCATTCGTTTTAATTTTTAAAGATGTAAATGAAATGAGGTCTCACTCATTTATAAAGAACATTTCAAAGAACAAAATGCCTTGATTCGTGAAATGTCTTGAAATATTTTTAAAAATTAAACAATAAAAAAAGAGATTCAAGGTATGAATGGTAAAATGAATTACGAATTTGATATATTAGCATAATGACATTAAAATAAGAATAATATTGATATATAAACAATAATATATAATCATTTTTAACTTTTATCATAATAATTTTTACTTTTTAACTGTATACTGTAATGTGCTATCTGGAATTATGTAACTATTTACAGAAGTATAATTAATATAATTATTAATATAAAATATGCGTGTCTTCACATATGGCGGAATGTGTTGAACCATATGTACCCATTATATAATCATTGTGCACACCACATTCCTCGCTTTCCTTTTTTGTAAATATAAAAATAATTTTATAATTTCTTTATTAACCATCTTGTGTTACAAAAGATATGAATATAGCTTATGACAGTAACAGTTATTTATACTGTATAAATATTTATAATAAATTGAATAATAAATCACTGAGGTCTGTTTTTAAAAATTACTTAAATATCTCACTGCTAAATGTTTCTACTCATTAGAGATTAACTGTAAAATTGATCAGATAAATTATTTATATTAGACATAATATTATAATTTATTTTATAATAAGTTGGTAACTAGCAAAAAATAAATGTTAAACCAATGTTCGTCCGTCCATTATACTCATGAGCGAATGCTTCTTGTAGTTGGTCTGCCCTAATCACTACGATTGATTTAATCTTATTTAGTTCTAAACCAGTTGGTTGTATATTTAACATTTTCTCTATTTGAGTATTGAATTAGTGCTATTTGGTTGTTTGTATTCACACATCAACTTAAAAATGTAATGTTACAACAAAATTATTTAAAAGAGCAACACGCAATTTCCTTGTTCATTCTTCTTGTGTTGAGACAGCTTACCGAATGAGCGGTAGATTTAAAAAAAAATGTGGTATCTATTTAAAAGTACTTCAATGTAAGTTTATTTGAATAAAGGATTTTCTATTCTATTGACACTAACATTAAAAAATTCTGTTTTACACAACATTAAAACTATATATAATAAATTTGCATGCTAAGTTAACTGATTGAGGCACTGGCAAAAATTAAAATAACTACATCTTGCTACATTCAAATTAAATTAAATAAATATTTTTAATTTGTTTATATGCAACTTTAAAGTATCATCAAAAAAATGAAAGATTGCATTTTGTTATAAACGTCAAAATAAAAATGATATGTACTGTAACGGCCTGTTGTAGAACATATTATTCTTTATTTTGTCTGTTACTTCAAAAAGTACTAAAATTTATTCCAGTGTTATTTTACTGTATAAAATAGAATGATATAGAATTGAAAGCTTTTAGCATGCATAATCATTTTAATGAACTATTAATATTTATCTAAATAAATGTGTCATTTCTCATGTATTTACTCTTTTTTTTTATTTTTGCTAATTTTAATTGTGATTTGCTACAAATCTAACCCCACCGGCGGGAGGACTCTGATGGATGGTAAACGTAGTGACGGCAGAATGTTGATAAATATATTTCACCGAGCTATAATATTTTACATTCCGCGCTTACCACGTTTATCAACCATCGCAGACCACCGGATCCGTCTTGAGTCGGCAGTCAATAATGGCGGGATTTAAAAATAAACTTTGAATTTCCCGCCAAGGGACCCAATTATTTACAATAATTTTTAAATATCCCGCCACGATAATTTTCAAATATCCCGCTATTTCGCTTTTCTTCAAAAAGTATTCAGTGCTAATCCGGTACGGCGCTGGTAGTATAAGTGCGTAAGGTCGTGGTTGCAATTTTTTAATACGGAGACGTCATTCTTCTCTTGAGTAGTATATTCTTTGTACAGAAATCAGTCATTTATCTCTGTCAGCCTACAATTGCGTTCCGTTTTACCAGAAAACTGAAATGATCAAAAATAATATTACTTCAAGGAAAATTGTATCAAATAAAAATATTTTTATATGTATTTATTTATGTATTTATAACTATTTTATTAATATGTAATATTTATTAACATGGTAATACATTTAAAATCAGTATTATATTTTAAAAGTACACGGAGAACAGGAAAGTATCTTGTATTTTTATCACTTCGTTTCAAATCATAATATCGCGTCATTACTGCATATAATGAAAAACAAAAGTTTTTTAGCAATTTTTTTTCAATAATTATAAAGTATATAAATATTTAAGAATTGCTATTTTGAAAAGGGCGGGAAACACAAAGTTTGGCGGTCGTATTTTTTGAGTAACATAAAACTGTTAAGAGAGAAAAGATTGCAGGATGGAAACATTTCTGCTCATCCATTTCCCCCAACACTAATATATCTCAAGTTTGGAGTAACATAAGACGGTTTAGACATGCTTTTAATGTTTCTAGACCTAATTCTCTTATGCCCAGTCTTGTAGAATCATTTTTAGACAGGCTAGCCCCTGCATTTGTTTCAGAAGATCTATCTTTGGTTTACCCTGATCCACCTCAGTTAAGTAATATGACTCTTGAACCACTTGAAATACCCTTTAGCCTTGATGAATTGAAAAGTATACTATCTAAGGTTAGGGATTCCACTCCTGGTAATGATGGGATACCATATTCCTTTATTACGCATCTTGATGATAGCTCTCTTAACTATTATCTAAAACTCATCAATACTGTAGTAGATACTGGTAACATTCCAAAGTCATGGAAATTACAGCAAATCATACCCATTCTTAAAACAGGGAAACCTTTATCTGATCCAGCATCTTACCGTCCAATAGCTCTGTCATCTATCTTATTAAAACTGACAGAACATTTAGTAAAAAACCGATTAGAATGGTTTGTAGAGCATAACGATTTGCTATCTAATAGTCAATATGGTTTTAGAAAAGGAATGAGTACACTTGATAGTTTAAGTATATTTACAACAGATATCCGTTTGTCATTTACAGAAAATAAATCGACAATAGCAGCTTTTTTAGATATTAAAGCTGCCTACGATAATGTCTCTATAACAGTGCTTCAAAATAAACTCAATGCTTTAAATATTCCTCCTAGGTTAACAAAGTTCATTATAAATATGTTATCAGAACGGTCGATTAATCTTGAAAATAGTAATCCTAGTTGTAATTCAAACTTCAGAGTTCTTTGGAAGGGCCTTCCCCAAGGCTCTGTTTTAAGCCCTATTTTATACAACATATATACTTATGACTTAGAAAATTCAGTAACCGACCCAACTAACAAAATAAACATTTTGCAATATGCAGATGACATACTGTTTTATGTCATTGACAACTCTGTTCAGAAATCGTGTACAGTTTTAACTTCAGCATTAGAACGTTTAGGAATTTGGTTACAATTAAATGGTTTGGAGTTATCCGTTACAAAAAGTACTATTGTCCATTTTACAAGAATGCGGACACCGCCACCAATCTCTATTTATTATAAAAACATTTTAATTCCGGTAAAATCTCAAACAGTATTTTTAGGCTTATTATTAGACTCAAAACTTATTGGACTTCCGCATTTTGAACAAGTTTCTTTAAAGTGTGAAAAATCACTGAATATATTAAGATGTTTATCTGGAGTATGGTGGGGTGCCCATCCATATTCTTTGAAACTTGTATATAATGCTATTATTAGAAGCATTTTAGATTACGGTACTTTTCTTTTAGACCCAAGTAATGGAGCTGGATTACGTAAATTAGATGCTATACAATCTAAAGCTTTAAGAATAATTACTGGCGCCATGAAGTCCAGCCCAGTAAATGCCTTACAAGTTGAATGTTGTGATCCTCCTCTAAATCTCAGACGACAATTCCTCGCAGATAAATTTTTATTCCGTATCTCTCAATATTCTAAGCACCCACTTCTCCCTAAACTACAAATACTAGCTCAATATTGTATGAATGCACATTATTGGCGAAATAAATCTAGTCCTTGTTTAGTCGAAAGTTTTAAAAAGTTATCTTCTCTTGACTCACCCACCTGTAATTACAGAAGGTTTCCTCTCTTCTGTGTACCATATGAAGCATTAACCCTTATACCTGATGTTCATTTAAATATAAATATTACTAAAAATGATCCTAATGCAAATGCGATGTTTAACTATTTTATGAATGTCAATAAAAAAGATTACCACCATGTGTTTTGTGATGCATCTAAGCATAACCCTTCTGGTGGTGTTGGCGTTGGAGTTTATCATAAGCAATTTGATATAGTTCAAAAAATTAAATTGCCCCCAGAAACTTCAATTTTTACAGGAGAATGTTTTGGCATCTTTAAAGCCTTAGATTACATTTTAACTATGAAACTTAAACAATCAGCAATATTTAGTGACTCCATTAGTGCTTTACAGGCTTTACAAAAGGCTCCGTTCAAATCGAATGAAGTGTATCCTGTCATTATTGATGCTAGAAAATTACTACAGATGTGTATTTCGAAAGGATATGTAGTCTCTTTCTTTTGGATACCTGGTCATTCAGGTATTCAAGGCAATGTGACTGCAGATAGATTGGCTAGTGAAGCTATTGGGTGCGGCGATGTTTTTCCTTATAAAAATTATAGTCATGATTTGGCGGCTCTGCCTGTCTCTTATCTCCGGGATGCCTGGAATGAGACTTGGCCTATTAGCTGCCAAACCAAGGCCCGACATTACTTTAATATTCAACCCAAAATTCCGGTCAAACCTTGGTTTTATTGTGTTAAGCTTAGCAAACGCGCAACAACATCTCTTATAAGGATGAGATTAGGCCACATGAGTTCACCTTCACATTTGGCTAAATTAAAAATAGTGGACAGTAATGTGTGCGATTGTGGTATAGACGTGGGTGACTTGAATCATATTATTTTAAGTTGTCCTTTATATGATCATTCTATTCTTTTTCAATCCCTCATTTACCTCCAGATTCCTTTACCTACTTCCGTTCCAATATTACTGTTCATGGATAAATTTGAAATATATAATTTTATCTCCATTTTTCTGAGTAGCAACAATATTAAGCTCTAATCATAATATTATTATATTTTAAATATAAGCATTATCTCATTTGGTATCTATTTTTTTATATAAAACATCATTATATGTATTCAATATTAGCATTAATATTCATTATAAACATATAATCTTCAAACATTTATTTCATATCTCTCCTTAACTTCTCTGATCCATATCCCAAAATCCAAAACTATCCTATTCCAAGTCCTATAGTTTCCCAAACTTTGATGTTGGCAAATGCACCGTAGTGCCAAGCCATGAGAAAAAAAAAAAAATTTAAAATTATGAGCTTACAAAAGAAAAGGAGTGCAAATTGGACACCAGAAGAAAAAGTTAGTACTTATAAACTATAAAATTCAGTCAATTGAGTTTTAATACAGTGTATGGCGAAATAATGGTGACTATTTTAAATGTTTTAGGCAATATTACGCGAAATTATTTCAGCATCGGCGCATATAATAGAGGACAAATCAACAAAAACGTCGGCAAATATTTTAAAGTCCAAAGAGTGGAAAAAAATAACAAATAAGTACGTATTTATATTTGTATTATTATTTTTATTTTTGTATCATTTGCTTTAAATATTATAGTTAACTAGCTGTGCCCGCGGTTTCACCCGCGTTAAATGTCAGTATAAAATATAGTCCTATGTGTTATTCTGATGCATAAGGTATAACTGTACAAAATTCATCAAAATCCGTTCAGTAGTTTTTGAGTGAAAGAGTAACAAACATCCATACTTACAAACTTTCTTGTTCAAAATATTATTAATATATGTCTGTAATATTTCTAGATTCAATGAAATTACTGGTAACAGTAGATTGGACAATGAATTAAAAATGGTCTGGAAAAGATTAAAATTATTGGCCAAAGCTAACATATCCAAATTCAAGCGACAGCAATCACAAACTGGTGGTGGAGAAAAGCCACAGTCACCATCCCAAGAAGACTTGGATATTATGGCCATTGCACCACTAGACTTTGTGGTGGAAATAAACACCTATGACAGTGATGCTGTGACTGCTATGGTATGTATCTACTATATAATGATTATTCTGAATCAAAGGTCATAAATTTATGAGGTAATTAAAATTTCATCACACTAAAATGCTGAAGATTTTTGTATGAAAAATTATACATATTGTTTTTTTTATTATCATATCACACAAAATAGTAGTGGTAAATAACAATATTGATGTTGACAATATACCACTTGGTTGTAGGAGGACAATCAAATTCAGCAGAATGAAGTCAGTGGTCATAGTTCAAATCATATCGATTTGAACTCAGACACTGAGCCAATACTCAAAACTGTGGAAGAACAAGGTAAATATACTATCAAAACTAGCAAAATATACACATTTATATTTAGCTTAGCTATATCATTATCAGTCTCAGTGTAAGCGCGATCCGATGTGCACGTATTATAATTATTTTATTTAATATCGTAATTGCTCAGCGCGGCATAAGCCGTGCTAGTCGAAGTTCCAGCCATGTGTGACAAACTTGTGGCCAACGAACTCCTTGCGTTCCTGCAGCAGAAGCTGGACGTCATGGACGAAGTAAGTGCAGTCCAGATCTGTGTGTCCAACTTCAGCCAGGACGACATCGCGAGAGCGAAGGCTCTGCTCTTCGAGTCCCTAAATAAGACTGATCAGATGGTGTCTCGTAGACGTGACGGGACACAAAAAAGCGTACAGGACATTATAACGCTGCTGAAGGAGACCGATCCAGACGACGTGCCGACTTTTGTGGCGAAGTATTTAAACAAACTTCCTCCAGTCACATTTGATCACGTCGATGTTACCAGCCTACTCAAGGATATCGTGTCCTTAAAAAAGAGTTTGGCAGATGTGACGCTACGTTTCAATGCGTCAGAGCACATAATTAGTGAGTTGCGCAAGGAAGTGGACAGTTTGCGCGACTCGCGAAAAGAAACTAGGTCACTTGACGCTACGAACATCAACACGCGCCGTGGGGCATGCCGCGATGCGTTCACGGCGGAGTCAGCGGTTTCGGCGTCGACACTGACGTCACCAGATGTGGTGTCACTGCTGGCCGCCGCGCCCCCCGTGCTCCCCGCCCGCAGCTCGCGAGCGCCGATACCGCTGCATGTGGAAGCAGCGCTAACAAAATCCTCGGTGCAACCACAGCGTCGAGATTTTGCCGCCGTCGTCGCTAGCAAACCGGCTGCTTCAGTACAGCAGCGTGTGCCAAAAACGGCACTGAACATTGACCCTACGTGTGCTGCCACTGGGAACCGCGACGATGATGGCTTCGTCGTTGATACAAAAGAAGAGGCGCACAAATAGGAATCATTGTGGCACAGCACTCACTGGGCCCAACTTTCTGCTGCGTGCTGCTACACCGACCACGACAATGTACATGTCCCGTCTACATTACGCCACTAAGGAGCAGGACATTGTCGATTATATTCGTACCAAGAGTAACCTGACATTGAGGGTAACGCAGCTGAAGTCGAGTCACAACGCGAGTTTCAAAGCGTTTGTGGCCCTGGTCCCCACCGACTTGCTGCCCACCTTCATGAAAGAGGACTACTGGCCGAAAGGTGTGGTGTATCGGCGCTACCGTGGCAAATTGCCGTCTTCAGTGCCGTGATCACACAGACAATATCGTTGTATTGGTTTTTAAATATTATATTATATGTATGTTAGTCTATAAGGTATTTATAATATGGGCCTAGTTGCCTGAAATAAATGAATAAATAAATAAAAAATATATAGCTATATAAATGTGTATGTTTGGCTTTCTGATTAACTAATCTTCATTCAATTTGACATACATATAAGTATTTGTCATAGAGGAGGAGATAAAACATGCTATGTAGCTTGTATCACTTTATGTCAAGAACATATTTTACCTACCTACATTAATACACTTTATTAATAAACTAGCTGTTCCCGCGACTTCGTCCGCATGGAATTAAAATTTATTTTTCTAAAATAAAAGTAGCCTAAGTTACTCCTTATTACATCAGCTACTTGCCAATAAAAGTCCCATAAAAATCGGTCCAGTAATTTCAGAGATTAGCCGGAACAAACAGACAGACAGACAAAAATTGTAAAAAATGTTATTTAAGGTGTATGTACCGTATTTATATTCATCAACAATCCAAATTTATTTATATGTATAAATGAAGTATAAAAGTATGTGTAATAACTTTTTATTCTGTTGTAAAATTTGTATACATTCATAAATATTATTAATTGAGAATTTTTTTATTTATAGCAATAGTTGAACCATTAATAAAGAAAATAAAAGAGAGCGCGCAATGAAATCAAAGAAGTAGGTGCAAAAGAAGTATGTACAAATAAGTTGTCTTTGCTTGTTAGGAGTGATACATGAAATTTAGAAATATTAGTATGTCAATGTTTTATTGCAAAGGTTATTGTAATTTAAATTTCCAAAGATAGAAGTTAATAATCATATACATTGGAATGTTTTTCATATGTAAATATAAAATTGTAACTAGTCAATTGTCTAAACATAAGTTTTTTAAGTGTTATTATACTCTGTAGTACAAATACTGCTATTAGAATATTGATCTACACCCTGAGTTCTTGTTCATAATTTAATGTGGTATTATTTTTTTGTTCACAGAGATGACATGAGAGAATCTATTGTACAAAACAATATAGCATTTAAAAGAAGAAATTTGGAAATGTTAGAAGTTGAACATGCATATAATATTAGAATATTGAAGTTAAAAATAAAAAAAATTGAATTAGAAATAGATTTATTAAAATCTAAAAATCATCATACAATATAAAAAACATATAATAAGCAATGTCCTTGCAACTGATTTTAAGGCTGATACTATATAATGAGTGTCTGTGTACTGATATAAGGCTGATTGTGTTGTGTAAATAAATAATTAAACTAAAAATGAGTTTCTATGAACTGCTTTCTCCTAACAGTACCACGAAGTGCGTTTTGAACACTTTGTTGTAAAACCCCTGTGTTTGAAGTGGATTCTCTAGCAATCTCACCAGGAAAAATGTCTTCCTTTATGTCTATTGCAATATTGTGAAGCACTGCACAAGCTACAACTGTCATTCTGGCTGTTTCAATGTCTCCAAACATGCCTCTTAATAGACAACGGAATCGTTGTTTCCACAGCCCAAAACACAATCTCTCAATTGTGTTACGTGTCTGTATATGACACCTGTTATAAGTTTCTTCCTGAGGAGTATTAGTATGTAATACCGGGGTAAATAAATATGGAGTGCAGGGATATCCACTGTCTCCCAGTAATATTCCGGAGAAGGCCCCAGCTTCAAACCTCTGTTTTAGTCTACACTCCCGAAATATTCTTGAATCATGTACACTACCAGGCGACCTCGTGACAATGTTCATAATATTCAAATCAGCATTACAACCACCTGAAATATTAAAACATTAAAATGTACTATTTACGACTTACTTAATCTCCTTTTTTTAATAAATATTAACATACAATGCTTGGAGATTTAATGTGACTGACAATAAAATAATTAAGAAATTATGTACATAAAATTATTATTTTGACAAAATTACAGTCTAAATTATTACATGATGATGAATATACAATCCAATCCTACACAATATCCTCTCCGTATTAACTCATATTTTAAATTTTTCCTTACAGTCCTCAGAATTTCCTGATATTTGGCGTAAAGCATTTGTCCTTCCTCTTCCCAAAATTCCAAATCCCAAGTCTCCTTCTCAAGTACGTCCTATATCCATATTACCTTTTTTGTCCAAAGTCTTAGAGGGTGCCGTTTATAAGCAACTTTCGAATTTTGTTTACGCAAACAACTTTCTTAGTAACTTCCAGTCTGGATTTCGTCCCGGACATAGTACAACTTCGGCACTCATAAAAGTTACTGATGACATAAGGGATGGTATGGAGAATTCTCATGTAACTATACTTATTTTAATAGACTTTTCTAATGCTTTTAACACTGTAGACCATGGGATTCTCTTGTCCATTCTGAGTCACCTTGGTGTTTCCTCAGCAGTTAACAAATGGTTTGCTTCTTATCTTTGTGGTCGCCAACAGGCGGTTCGCACTGAACAAGGCACTTCTGTCTGGTCTGACCTGACCGCCGGCGTACCCCAAGGCGGTATTCTTTCCCCCTGTTGTTCTCCATTTTCATTAATATGATTACACACCTTCTTCAATGCTCTTACCACTTGTATGCTGATGACCTACAGCTTTATACTCAATGTAATGTGTGCGACCTTGATGATGGTATCGACAAGGTAAACTCCGATCTCCGGGTCATTTGTGACTGGTCGCATAGATTTGGGCTAATGGTTAATCCTGCTAAGTGTCAGGCTATTTTACTAGGTAGTTTGCGGCAGTTGGACAGGATTGATCATGCCAGACTACAGAAAGTGGTATTTGGCTCCTCTGTTGTACCATTTTCCAATCACGTAAAAAACCTTGGCCTTTACATTGACAGCAACCTTAATTGGAATCACCAGGTGAGTGAGGTCAGCAGAAAAGTCATTGCTGCCTTACGGTCCTTATATAGATTTAAAAAATTTCTACCGGTCAGTACTAAATGTCTTTTGGTGCAGTCACTGATATTGCCTATAATTGACTATGGTGATGTGTGCTATCCGAATCTTAACCAAGACCTTCTAAATAAAATGGATCGTTTACTCAATAATTGCATACGCTTCATATTCGGTCTTCGTAAGTATGACCATATCTCACACTTCCGCTCTGAGCTGAAATGGCTTCCTATCCGCCAGCGCAGGAGTGTTAGAATTCTCTGTCAACTCTTTTCTGTCCTATACGATCCTCTAGCTCCTCGGTATCTCAAAGATAGATTTCTATTTCTAAGTTCATCACACTCTCGTGATCTTCGCTCATCTTCTAATCTCCTGCTGTATACTCCTTCTCATCGTTCTAACTTCTCATCCCAATCTTTCACCATTTCTGCTATTAATCTTTGGAATGCACTTCCTGTTGACCTCAGAAGATGTCAAACCAAATTTTCCTTAAAGAGATCCTTGCGTGAACACTACTTGAAATTCTTATAGCAATATTCATACAAACCACTGTCTCAAGATATATGTCATGAAATATTATATATTGTATATAGTTTAATATTATATTTAAATTGTATGATAATTATTAAGCTTATATATTTCGCTTTATTTATGTAATTATATAATTTTAGAAGTATATTTGTACGTTTATATATATATATATATACACCTATATACATATTTTTTTTCTGTATTAATCTATTTAATACTTGTAAAATTGCACCGCTATACTATCTCTGATCAACGCGTCGGTTGACTGGTAGAGAATGCCATCAGGCATTAAGTCCGCCATGTATACAATTTTGTGTGCAAAAGAATAAATAAATAAAATAAATAAATAAATAAATAAATTTTATTTAGTATCCATATCCATCCTTTGACATTTTTTATTTTTTTTTTTTTTTTTTTGTTTGCACCAATTATTACCCACTCAGTACCACATATCCCACTGTTTTAGGTTGACTGGAAGAGTCTCTTCTAGGGATAAGTCCACCCTTGCTCACATTGTCTCTAAATTATAATATCTTTTTATTATCTGTGCAATAAAGAATATATTAATGATTTCCTAATTACTTAAAAATTTACTTCTTTAAATTGACAATTTATTTTTATCATGTACTATCTAGACACGCGGTAGCGTGTCAAGCCGAGTTTCAAGTAACTGGCGAGCAGCACCGTGTATATATATATATTTACACGAACCATTTGGGGCCACTTTTGACCCCCTCATAACTCAAAAACTCTTTCACATAAACCTGTCAAATTTGGTTCATATATTGAGACTTGCGAGATAAATATGTGTTCCAAATTTCATAAACATATCTCAAACGGTTATTTAGATATTAACGTCCAAATATCGTCATTTTTATCACTGATCAACTATAGATCAAAATTATAACCCACTTCCAGATGACCTAGGAAGTTCAAATTTGGCATGCAGATAGGTAATTAGGTGAATATAAAGGAAAAAATCTGAAACTGGTAAATTGTTATCATTTTATTATAATTTTTCACTTTAATTGATTCTATTTCAACTTATATTAGACGATTACTAAAATTCTATGAAAACGTCGATAGCCACCAATGAACATTGATCCCTGGCAAAAATAGCTCATCTTGTACTGAACGGACAGTAATATTGTATGAAAACGTCGATGGCTACCAATTAACTTTGATCCATCACTGGCTACCAGAGATCATCTTGTACTGGACGGAAAGTAATATTGTATGAAAACGTCGATCTTTACCAATTTACGTTAACCCCTTCACATCAGTGTGGATAACTAGCAAACTTCAAATATTGCATTGAGCGGTAAACACAAGTTGCTATAATTTAGATTCTGTCTAAAATATACTCGTACTTATAACTAAGAGTATAGTCGAAATATCATATACCCCGAAAACATACGAAAATACAGTAGTTTATCAAAAATAATTTGGTATTAATTTAGTTATAAATAAGTACCTCGTATAATTTGTGTACAAAAAGTAATGATATCCCATCAAAAACTTAAATGTGAAATGATAGCCGAGTTTAATATTATGATATATGCCTTGATTGTTGACTTCTACGACAAAAGAGGTGAGATCAAAATGGGTGGTGTATACGAAATATACTGTAGCCTTCGCAAGTTCTAAACATTTACAACAGTTACTTGTCGGTTCCTATTTTATTATTAGTAGTAACTAGCAATCGAAAGTAATAATTGGTATATGAGAACTGGCCAAGTTAGACCTTAGGCTACAGTATATTATCCTAAGTTATAAGAAGAAATGATATTATATATTGTTATAAATACATTTCAGGACATACCATTGAACTTGGCACCCATTTAGATCTCACCTCTTTTGTCGTAGAAGTCAACAATCAAGGCATATATCATAATATTAAACTCGGCTATCATTTCACATTTATGTTTTTGATGGGATATATATATATATATATATATATATATATATATATATATATATATATATAATATCCCCTTGGGCACTTTGTGGCTCAGACGTGCCGTATAGGTAGTTTTTTGTTGATCCATTTTCACTTGTTGATCCGGAGGCCTTTTGTTGATCTAATGCCAGCTGACCATATATAAATGTTGATCCGTTTTGAGCCACAACTGTCACGACGAGTAATAATAATAATTAAGCGATTTATACACGATTTTATACAAATCCACCTTTTTGGCATACGACCACTTCTTGATCCAATTCAAACGGGCCAATCAGGGTGCAGCATTTGCCAAGGGCTTCCTCATTGGCACGTTTGGGCTACTACATTATGGCTACAGTAACTTAATAATGTCTAGCTAGTATTTCAGGAATAATAGTCTATCTAATCTAAATATTTATTGAAATCAGTCTGGAGTAACGTGACTCCAGATCAAAACTCAATACTTGTTATTTTTTGGACGGGAATTTTTCCTTTTGTAACAACGTTACTGAGCGAATGAAGAGACGTAACGGCGGATCCAGGAGGGAACCTCATGGAGGTCTTGGGAGTCATGGGGGTCATGACTCTCCCCCCCTTAGCCCAGGACTTAGGTAGACCACTAATTGAACTAAAAAATAATGAAACAGCTAAATTTTTTGCACTATCGGAGTGTTGGTGCAGTGGTATTAATTATAATTAAACATTGTTACTTAAAATATAACACTTAAAGTACTATAACACTAAAAGCAAAATAAGTCTTTTCAAAATACTTTTTCAAAATAAATTACCCTTTGAGTTTTTGTCCAAACCTCAGATATTTTATTTATTTTAGGTATATCAATCATTACATAGTATAGTATAGTATAAAACAAAGTCGCTGTCGCATCTAACAAGTACATAAATAAAGAAAGAAGACTTTTTGGCTCTGAATATATTTCAAAAATCAATTACTTGTGTTAATCAATTTATATACTCGTTCTTATTTCATAGTACTTGTTTTGATCCGAATATATACAGATACCGTAACGGTCTATTAATTATGAATTTATTATACCTAACCTAGATATGTTATTTTGACGAAACTCCGTGTAGTAGTATTATCCGATAAGGGAGGTATGCGAACCCTAAGTATTATTTCAAAATGGCCAGTAATTTCGAAGAAATAAGCCTTTGAATTTCAAATCAACTTAAAGTTGTCAAGTATTAAATTAATATTAATTTACATTAACTATTATACTTTCTAAATTGTAAAGCAGCTAACAATTATAGTAAGATCTTATAAATAATTAACACAACAACATTTCAAATGTATTTTCTTTATTATTACAAAATATTTTTTGTGCATGCTATAATAGTTAATGTCACTTAAAATTTATTTAATATTTAACAACGTTTTTATCGACTAAATTCATTTAATTATTAAAATAGTTAATTTTAAATATTACTTTAAAAAAAAAACAAAAAAAAAGTCAATGGTGGGAATCGAACCCGGGGTGTCTGTGTGGTAAGTTGGTACACAGGTACACTCCTAACTAGTAAAATTAATTTAATACTTAACTACGTTTTTCTCGTATAAATTAATTTAATTATTAAAATATTAAATTTAAAAATAACAAAAAGAAGTAAATAACAATAGTCAATGGTGGGAATCGAACCCGGGGTGTCTGTGTGGTAAGTTGGTACACAGGTACACTCCTAACTAGTAAAATTAATTTAATACTTAACTACGTTTTTCTCGTATAAATTAATTTAATTATTAAAATATTAAATTAAAAAAAAACAAAAAGAAATAAATAACAATAGTCAATGGTGGGAATCGAACCCGGGGTGTGTAAGTTGGTAAATAGGTACACTACCAACTAGGCCATTCTGCTTTTGTTCATTCTTGTGAAAAAACTAGTATACATATAAGTTACACGTACAATTTCAAAGGCTTATTTCTTCAAAACTACTGGCCATTCTGAAATAAAACTTTAGGGTTTGCATATGTAATGTTTGCATATAAAATATGATTAAAGGTTACCAGTGTTGTGAAGGATGGAGATCAAGATGACGAGCAAAAAGTAAAACGGCACCGTTGTAGTTGATAGAATATTTTTGTATTAAATTGACTTATGTCATATAAAAACAATATAATATTATAAAAAATCAAACAAT